TTTAGCCCCTTTCCCTTACCACCCTTTTTTAAGAGGAAACGATGGGAAAGAAAAGTGGATTTGATGATGGAGGAGACCCATAGGAAGGAGAAATATCCTATTTATGTTCGTCATGTCCTCTGACGATTAATGGTAGGCAACGCATCTGCAATAGCAGCGGTCGCTCTAGCTTTATAGCGGTTTCAGATGACCGCTTGCTCGTTTGCCACGTTGATAAAAAAATTTAATAACTATCCAAACTATTCATAACTTATAAGATAATTCAAAAGTTTATAAATAAAAATTCTTATTAAGTTGCATTGTCTCTTTAAATGATTGGTTTTGTTTCATGTAACATTCGTCTAAAACGTTAACGATTGGCATTGAACTTGGCTTTGTTTTTCAATGATTTGTACTTAACTATTACGTTACGTAACAAGAAATTGGCTTGTCTTACAAACTGTTGAGTTGGTAATATTGTAAAATCTTACTAATATTATAAATGCGAAAGTTTGATTTTTTGGATTGACTGATCATTTGATGGATGTTTGTTAGAGTTTGTAGCCTAAACGGCTGAACGGATCTCGATGAAATTTGGTATAGACGTAGAGGATAGTCTGGAAGAACACATAGGCTGTTCTCTTTAGTTTTTTTTTCCACGCGGACGGAGTCGCGGGCGAAAGCAAGTATGTTATAAAAAATGTCTTGTTTTCTAGATGACTTACAATCAGCACAGACTGTACCACCGAGCACTGACTGCTGTCCTGGAGGACATAAGCAGGATCCTTCTCTGCAGACGCTGCCGACCAGACTGGCACATTCTCTATCTTCTCTACACGACCAGATCGCTGATACACTGCTTTGCAGGAACAATCCTGCAAACGGAAGGTTGAAAAGCTATAGAAACAAAACAGCGGGCTTATCTTTCTTACTTCTTACTAATATCATAAATGCGAAAGTTTAGATGGATGGATGTTTGTTAGAGTTTGTAGCCTAAACTGCTAAACGAATCTCGATGAAATTTAGCATAGATGTGGAGGATAGTCTGGAAGAACACATAGGCTACTCACTTTTTTTAATTCCACGAGGACAGTCGCGGGCGAAAGCTAGTACTAATACTATAAAGCGGGAAGATTTGCATTTTTGTAAGTATTGAAATAACTCAAAAACTACTGGGACGATTTCAAAAATTCTTTCACCATTAGAAAGCTATACTATCACTGAGTGACAAGACATATTTACACCATTGACTGAACTATCGCACAACTGTTTAGTCTTGTTTTAGTTACAGAACAGTTGTGCGATTACAAAGATGTGCACCCGTTAATATATTTCTATACATATAATAAAATTGAAGTTTCGGTTTGTTCAAAAGATAAATTCCAGATGGGTCGATTTCGACCTGAGTTTCACTAAAGGGTAGCTGACATAGACGGCCATATTATAGACAACTTTTTTTTATCTTAATACTAGCTTTAAGAGTTAAAAAAAAAAAATCAAAAGTGTTCTTCCAGACTACCCTCTACATCTATACCAAATTTCATCAAGATCCGTTCAGCCGTTTAGGCTGCAAATTCTAACAAACATCCATCCATCTAAACTTTCGCGTTTATAATACTAGTAAGATTGCGTGGACAATGTCGCAGGCAACCTAGCAATTAAATATATTTCGTTTCAAATTAAAATAACACATTACTCACCAAGGACTGATATAATAATCCAAGAATCCATAATTTAATAATATCTTAGTAATATTGAAAATTTTACGTGATTTTAAAATACCATTTCTGTTAATCTAGCACGTGCAAGTATCGCGACATCACTATACAATAATGTAGACAGGCGTAATTATCACTATAGATTAAAAATCGATATTTAGGTATAGAGCTTTGAATGTGTAGAGTCGGCAAATAAGAAAATAGCACAGAAAAAGTTACTTTATAATTAACAAAAAACAAATGATATCGGAAATTGTTTCAGTATCAAAAAGTCTTCGAAAACAATCTAGTTACGATGATAAAAGTTATTTAAAAACCAGCTATTGCTTGTTGATCACCCTTAACTTAGGGTCGGTTTCAGCTCGGTGGGGATGTTAGTGATCTGGTGATATTGTTCAAAACTTCGTCCACTGGCAAATTAAAAAAAAATGCCTATGTTATTCACTGATAACGTAGTTTTTTAATGGTGAAAGAATTTTTGAAATCGACCCAGTAGTTTTTGAGTTATTACATACAAACATATAAATCTTTCTCCTTTATAATATTAGTATAGACTAGCTGCGGCACGCGACTTTGCCCGCGTGAAATTAAAAAATATAGCCCATGTTACTCACAGATAAGTTATCTTTCTAACGGTGAAAGAATTTTTAAAATCGCCGCAGTAGTTTTTGAGTTATTACATACAAACATATAAATCTTTCCCCCTTTATAATATTAGTATAAACTAGCTGTTGCACGCGATTTCGCCCGCTTGAAATTAAAAAAATATA